TTCATTAATAATTTCAAAATAATTAGATTTAATCGAATAAATCTTCCTGTTCTATCTGTCGCAGCACAACAGATTCATTGTTTATTACAAGCTAAACGTGAACGACGTAAAGAATTTATTTTTACTGATAGTGATAAAGTTATATTAAATGATACATTTGCAATAATAATAACGATGAATCCTGGTTATGCTGGTCGACAAGAATTACCAGAAAACTTAAAAATTAATTTTCGTAGTGTTGGTAAATATAAATCATTCAATAAAATTTAAAAACTAATAATATATATATATTCTTAGCAATGATGGTACCTGATCGACAAATAATTATGCGAGTTAAATTAGCTAGTGGTGGATTTTTAGATAATATAAATCTTGCACAAAAATTTTTTGTACTTTACAAATGCTGTGAAGATCAATTGAGTAAACAAGTAAGATTGAGTATAATAAGAAAAACATATTTTTCATTATTATTATTATAAGGTTCATTATGATTATGGTTTACGAAATATAACTGCTGTTCTTCGAACACTTGGAAGTGTTAAACGTGTTCGAACAAAAGATCCTGAAGATACAATTGTAATGCGTGTATTACGTGATATGAATATGTCGAAATTAGTTAAAAAGAAAATGTGTATTTAATTTCATGAAAATTTATTTATGTTATTTAGATTGATGAAGATGAACAATTATTTTTATCCTTATTAGAAGATCTTTTTCCTGGTATTAAGTTAGATAAAGAAAAATATGATGATTTACAAAAAGCTATTAAGAAAAAAGTTGATGAAGAAGGTTTAATTAATTATAATGATTGGAATTTAAAGATTATACAATTATATGAAACACAACGTGTTCGACATGGTATTATGATACTTGGACCTTCAGGAGCTGGCAAAACAAAAGCATGTCAAGTTTTAATGGGTAAATTAGCAAGAAATTTCTATCCGAAAGTATATGATCTTATTTATTTAGGAGCGTTAACAAATTTAGGTACACATACGGTAAAAATTAAGATTGTATTTATTAATAAAGAAAAATTAAGGATTATTTTTATTAGCGTGATTATCGAATGAATCCAAAATCAATTACAGCATCTCAAATGTTTGGTATTCTTGATGTTGCAACAAATGATTGGACAGATGGAATATTTTCTACACTTTGGCGTCGTACTTTAAAAGTTTATGAAATATCAACAAAATCAGGAATTCGTATGTTTTATTTTCTCTCATTTCTAAAAAAATTCTTTTATATTTTGTTTTAAAGAAGAATCATGGTGGATTATACTCGATGGTCCTGTTGATGCTATATGGATAGAAAATCTTAATTCTGTTTTAGATGATAATAAATTATTAACATTAGCAAATGGTGATCGTATACCCATGGCACCGAATGTTAAACTTATTTTCGAAGTACATAATATTGATAATGCATCACCAGCAACTGTATCACGTTGTGGAATGATATTTATGTCATCAACTGTTCTTCCTTGGAGACCTATATGTCAAGCATGGATAAATAAACAAATAAAAACTATTGGTATCTATATATTCGAAATACTTGAGAAACATTTTGATGAATTATATAAATTACTTATTACAAAATGCTTACCAAAAATGAAAGTTTATGAATGTAATTATATTAAACAAGTTTGTATATTCATTTTATTCATATTGATAGATATCTATTATATGTTTATTGATAGATTATTGATTTATTAGATGGATTATTGAATAAAGATATTGAATATACAAAAGTTTATTTAGAAAGATTAACGATATTTTCACTGATGTGGAGGTAATGAGAATTTTATATTAAAAAATTGTGTCGATTAATGTGTTTATTTTCAGTATGGGTGCATTATTAGAATTAAATGATCGAACAAAACTAGAACAACATTTTATAAATCGTGGTGATTGTGATATTCCAAAGAATATAATACAAGGCGATTCATTATTTGATTATTTAGTCAATGATGATGGTCAATGGGGTAAAGAAGAAGGGCGCATAAGAGTAGAAATCGGCCCATTTTTAAATTTTGCCGTGGTATTCCTGGTCACATAATTCTTGAACCTAACTAAATTTACATGGTGGGCCGATTTTCAGTCTTATACGCCCCCGTTCTT